CATATCTGTTTTGTGTGGGGGTATGCACACAAAATTCCCAGCATCTCTTTAAAAAAAAGACTAGTAGCAGGATAATTGGAAAAAGGCAAAAAGTACTCATACTTTTCCATCCAAAATGTTTTAATTGTTACATTAACAGGGAAATGCAAATAAGCATCCGACGACAGCAGAGAAGCTGATTCCTGCAACAATAATTTGCTCTTTGGCAATTCTCTTTGAGGGTTCCATAGTTGTAGTATTTTTCTTTTTAAAAGGTACTATGTTTCCTCATCCTATAAATGTAGGAGAGATTAATTACCAATAGGGAGGCAAAAATTAATTTATAAAAATTGCTAGTATCAGAAATTCAAGACTTAATCATTTAATTTTCCATCTAGCTTTGCTCAATGTTAACCCCAAAATGATTAATTTAGGATTCAAAGCAGTTCAAAGCCATTCCATATTATTTTTAGACAACTTGTTGTCTAAACTTGTTTTCCTGGTTTTGCAGCCTCAAGGTAGGATTGAAAGTTTTCATGACTGGGAAAAAAGGAGGATGGCCCCTAAAACTGTTGTACATAAAGCATAATGAAAAGATACTGGTAATTTCACAAATATAATTTCCTTTTAATTATTCCATATAGATAATTTTGTATCATTCTCTTTCATACACATGCTTCCTATTCATTTATAAATAGCACTGAGGAAGAAGAGGGAAGTACTTAATACAAATATTATAAAGCAGTTGGAAAGTTTTCCAATTTAAAATTTTCTACAAAATTCTTATCACTGTAGGCTTAAATTATACAGCCATAACCTACGGGTATGAGTGTACATGTGCGTGCATATATGTATGTACACATAGAAACCCACATCCTAAAGATTCATCACAAGTAATAGTACTTGCTTGTAGACCAGTTTTACTCTTTCCACCTTCTTATTTCCCATTTCTTCCTAAATGATCCCTAGGTTTGGAGATCCTCAACACAAATCTGTCACAAATCTGATATTCAGGATAAAGATATAGCAAATACTGTTGACAGGGGAGTTCTTTCTTATATAAGCTAAAGCATTACTGAAAACTGCTTTGAGCTATTTGGAGTCAATGACTTTATAAAGCAGATTAGCAGGAATCTCTACTCAGTTATAATACTCTCTCATTTAATAAAAAACCCTCCACTTAGAAATGCAGCCTATTATGAGATCATTGTGCAACAATCTATATTCCAAAACAACTTGTTAGATCCTAGAAAATGTAAAGGAGACAAAAGAAAAGCATTCCTCATAAGACAGAATATTCAACTTAGTGTATTTTAGTTAAGATGTTGCAGGTTTATCATGCTCTTACCTGAAACACTCATAAATCTAAAAATGGTACACCTAAAACCCAATTTTATATGAAAAAAATCACTCAATTTACAAAGCACAACTATCCTGATATCTCACATGACTTTTTTTTAAAGTTGCAGAACTCAAACATTATCGGTATCTCCTTTGGCTTTCCCTAGCCTATATGTTAAAGGAGTCACACAAACCAGAACAGACTAAAGACTTAACATTCAGTTGCTATGTTTAAAGCTTGCACAAGATCTGAGCCCCATTTTATGTACACTTTGTGAACACTTCATGAAGATAGGGTTTACAATAGAGCAATAAGCAAACCCAAAATAATATTCATCAGCTGGGATACATTATTTTTTTCCTAACCTTTTCAGAGAAAGCTAAATTTCTATGTTACTGAAATGTGAACTGTTTAATATTTGTATTAATAAAGTATTTCAAAAAAGAATATATCAATATGCTTTTCATGAAAAATGACTATCAAGATCTTTAGGAAAAGTTAGAAAATACTATGATTTTAAGATGGAATTTAGACAAAAAAGATCAATAAAACACTTTATAAGATGATGTTTCCTCAGATATGCCACAAATTCAAGTCCTTCAGTGCATTTAGCCCGTAACTCCTATTAATATTCTGAACATACTGTTTTTGAAAATTAGTTTGTCTACTGGCCAATCTTATTTAAATGTAAAATTATTTAGCTCCAGAAATGTCAATAGCTCCCTCAACAACCTGAAATACTGCATAATTATTAGCAATAATAAACAGGCTTTTGAATTGTGTTGTGCTTGCTGTCTATTTTACTGATTAAAAAGTATACCCAAAAAACTGCCAATGCTTAAGTTCTCATATTGGCAATTAAGTAGAAAGATGTGATTCAAAACAATTCAAAATATTTGCACCAAACTCAATTTTGGAAATTGTTTTAGCTAGAAAACATTAAAAGGTATAAAACAATATAATATAAAAGGTATAAAACAATATAAAGCAATATAAAACAACATGCAAAGCATTCTTCCACTGCTACTGAACAGAAGTAGAATGTCAACTCCATATGTTAAGAATCCAAATGTGATTAACTTCTCCCATATATTGGATAGTATACATATATGGCTGTAGAAGTTAACTGGACAAAAAGAATAGTTTTCCTACCTGTGAATTTCTTATTTACACGCTTCCCTCATGAGGGACAAAAAGGATTAAAATTAGCTTTTTCCATTCTAGCATTACAGGTAAATTGCTAACACAATGAATTATAAATAAATGTCAATTAGTCATAAACCCTACTATTAGATTTGATTTGGGAAGGCTCAGAGGGAAATTGTAAGGGAACTGTAAAGAAGGGAAATATGCTCTTTCAGTAATCAATACAGTTTTCTACCGGTTGAACAGCAATATATTGTACTTAGCTACTTTTTTCAAAGCTGGTTGTTGAACAAGCCATAGTGGCCTAGTTCTTATGCCAACACTAAATCATAGTCGGTAGGTTAATGAATCCAAAAGCAAATCATGCATATTATAGTTTATAATTAGGTGGAAACTGAACCCCTGCACGAAGACCCTTTGTGAGTATTTAACTAATACAGTACTTAATTCAGAAGCAATAAAAATAAAGATAAACCACAAAAAACATTAACAATACTGATAATTGCTAGTGAACATACAGAGATAATTTTAGTCACTTTCAGTTCAGTCCTTAAATTGAACAACTATTAGCCAGGCAAGTCACATATCAAAAAATAACGAGATTAATAAAACAAAGGAGACAAGCATTCTTCGTGCATCTTTTCCCAAAGCCCATCATATACAACTCTATAAGGGACATGAACAATTATTAGTGACAAGCAAAACTCACCAACTGAGGAATAGAACATTCCAGAATGTTCCATACACTCTCCAGACCTATATGTAGGAAGTGAGTTGAAGTGTCCTGAAAAGACTATTCTGAATAAAACAGAACTGTTTTGGGGCTGGAGTACTCCAAAAAGTTTCTGTTTTAGAGGGTTTATTTTTGAGCAATTCCCCCCACACACACCCCACTTCAAAAAGAAGAGCACAATCTGGAATGTTCCAGTCTCAAATCAGATTAATCAGAACTTCAGTTTCATGCCATTTCTTAAAACACAGCTAAGCTTTCATAGGTACCTTGGAAAAGAGAGTAATTCAGCAACATTAACATGTCCCTTTGGCACTTGAATTAATGTATACATTATATTTTTGATGAGGTCCATAAATCTTTTCTAGTAGGCCATTATTTGAAATTATTCATTAATTAATACCTTCCCAAAGTCCCTTTCACACAGCTAGCATTCAAATAAGAGTCACTGTCCTTTATAACAGGCCTTCTACACAACTGCAAGGAATGGATGTGTATTAGGTTCAACAACCAAATGTAAAAACAGTCACACACACTCAATTCTTTGTGCATGCAGTGCAGAAAAGCAACAAAAGCTATCTTTCTCAGCTAGCACAAAGTCAGAATCATTCCCTTACTTGCTTCAATGGATGGAAAATTTCAGAAAAAAACTTAGGGAAAAAACTAATGAAGGTCACAAAGACAAGTGATCAGCTGATCATGCCAACTCAAACATCTTGTACCTGTTTTGCCTACAACAGTATAACTTCTGTACTTTGAACACAAGAAAGGAACAGGGTTAACTGTTATAACTAAAAATTGTACTTTGTCTATATGAACACATGTAATTATTTTTTTTTAAATTGATGACTGACTGTCCAACAAGTACTAGCATGCAACTGAAAGTAAAATATCCCAGACTAAGACAAACAAAAAACTAGATTGGACCGCTCCATAAATTTTGAGTATAAAAACAAAATTTGTAATAACAGTGAAGTGGAAGTTCAGAGGAATACAAGAGGAGATGAGGAGGGGAAAAAAAACTATCCAGTAATAAAGATATTTTAAATGGAGTAGAGGTGGCTGTATACACTGGCTTTTGTAAAATTCATTTTCGGGATTTAGAATGAGTGGCCAAAATGTCTGTCCCATTTAAAATACCACTCCTATCTTACACCTATTAGTAATCCTTCATCACACACACACACACACAAACACAAAAACCCCCCAAATGAAGCTATCTGAGCAGATGTGTGTGTGAAAAAGTGAAATGGAGGCCGGTACTTAGCCTTAACTAGTTTTACTGGGACTGAAAGCGTCCCAACTGCACCACAGGTGTGTCACCTCGGACAGCAAACCAGCCACGTACCGAAATAATGGAGAAGAACGTGGGCTCCCCCCCCCTCTGAAGAGAAGAAACTCCCTCACAAACCGAGGACGAGTTTATCAGAGGCAGCAGGAGCCGCCTCACTCCCTGACACGCTTCTTCTCGGGGGCCCTGGCGGCTCTACACGCATCGCCAAGCACACTCCCCAGAAACTTAAGGCCTAACTCGCCGAAAGTCGCCTCGTGTTCCAACTGTGGGGACTGAGCAGGCGAGGAGGCAGACGCAAATTAGCGCTCCCTCCGGGCCGGAACCCTGGAGACCCGGGAAACCGTTTCCGCGGGGAGGAATTTGGGGGTGGGTGCGTGCGGGGGGGGGTTTAGAAGGCACCCCACGCATTAACGACCCCCTTCCCCCTTTTCCCAGCCCGCAAGGTTGCCTCCCCGCACGTTGAGCGCCGATCCCTCCGCCGCCGCCGCCTCCGAGGTCTCTTCCCTTACCCGCGCGCCGCCTCGAGGCTCTTGATGAGCTTCTTGATCTTCCAGATCTCCACGTTCCTGTCGGCAGCGCTGGGATCGTCCGCCATCTTCTCCCTCCTCCTCCTCCTCTTCCTCCTCCTCCTCCACCGCCCCTCCTGCGGGTGTAATCAAGCCGCCGAGCCGCCACGCGGAAAAAGGATTGAGAAATGGGGAAAGGGGAGGGCGGGGGAGGAGGGAAGCAGAGCCGTTAATCCTAGCCGAGGCCAGCCGGGCTCCCTCGGTTTCTCCCCCCGCCCCCAGCCGAGGAGCGCGGCGGCGGCGGCGGCGACCACCACCACCACCACGGCCCGCCCCGCTCCCTCTGGCGGGCCGACTCTCCCGCCCGGGCAGGCGCGCGCGCTCACCTCAGGCCTCGCCGCCGCCCCCTCCTTTCCTTCCTACTCCGGACTGCAACGAAGGGCTCCTCGCGACGGCGCTTGTGACGTCGTTCGCCGGCTTCTTCCTTCCTTCCCTTTCCCCTCCGCCTCTCCTGCTCTTCCCCCTCCCTCTCGCTTCTCCTCCGCGCTGCATGTGTTGCAATCGCCTCACATGGGGTTTCTGACATAATTTCCGGTCCCGCACCAATCTTTTTTCTTTTCTTTTCTTTTTTTTTCTTTTTTTAAAAAGGAAACGAGGGCCTGCCAGGAGGTGGGTTTTCAGCTTTCCGACACTTCTCTGTCTCTCATTGGCTAACTCTCGTCCGAGGTTTCTCTTCATTGGGTGGTTTATGCCCGTGACGGCAAGGAACCCACCCCCCCCTCATAATTAGACTGTATGCCGGGTAGCGTAGTTTGTTGGAAGGGTCAGTCAGAGCGGTTAAAAGCAGCTCTCGCGTTATCTATTTCCACGGCGTTTTTCTCGCCCGAGTGCGTGTTCTTTAAAGGGAACGCGCACGCCGTTTTGGGGAATGTGCGAAGCTATGAGTCAAAACTTTCCACGGCGCGGGAGGTAATTGAGAAAGAGAGCCCGCTTATATTTTTGCAACTATAGAAATTCTGAATTAGCTTAACGTAAGAATGGAGGCAAACATAAGTCGGATGTTGGCGCGTTCCTACCTGTAAATTTTATCCAGGCTCTGAGCTGGACAATAAATTAGGATGCCAGATTTGGGGTATAAAATATGTATTAGGACTTAATAGCTGCAAAATCCTGGCGATTGGAGGCTTGCCGCCCAGATCCCGTGGCCCTCGTTAAAGGAGGGACAATTGCTACCATTTCAGTTCATGTAATGGGGATCACATGTTAGCCTTAGACATTATGAGAACCCAAACTATATGATTACTTTATGATGTGATGGCTAGGAAGATCGGTTATTGAATTTGCAGCCCTTCTGTAATATTTCTCCCAATTACATAATTAAACATATAGGATTTGATTGGAGAAAACTTACAGGTAGTCCTCAACTTACAACTTTTCGTGTAATGACCGTTTGAAACTACAATAGCACTGAAAAAAGTGACTTATCGCTGCTTTTCAAAATTACGACCATTGCAGTATCCCCTTGGTCACATGAACAGAATTCAAATGCTCGGTAGCTGGTTCACAATTATGACCATTGCAGTGTCTCAGGATCATGTGATCACCTTTTGCAACCTTCTGACAAGCAGTCAATGGGGAAGCCAGATTCACTTTGCAATTGGGTTACTAACTTAACAACTGCAATGATGCAATAACTGTGGCAAGAAAGGTTGCAAAATGGGGCAAAACTTATTTAACAACTGCCTTGCTTAGCAACATAAATTTGGGGCTCAATTGTGGTTGTAAGTCGAAAACTACCTGTCTATAGTCACTTAATTAGTAAAATGAGAACTATATCAGATCACACCTGAAGCTCATTCAGGATCCTGAGTTCCACCATCAACTTTCCAACACTTGATCCTGGAAAGACCATAACCAGAATAGTCTAAGGCATGGGTGTCAAACTCGTGACATCACGTGATGTGTCATGATGTATCGTGACTTTTTTCCCATTGCTGGCAATGGGGTGGGCGCGGTTTTGGCGTGACGCATCCAGCCCATGGGCCAGCAGTTTGACACCCCTGGTCTAAGGTGTTTGGCTCTAGAACTGGATCTTTATAGGGTGTATTACTCAATTCCATGAATACTTACCATAAACATAACAATTTCTTGCTAGTGTCTTGTTCAGTTCTGTATTTCCAAAATATCCAAGTAACTGCTTTTCAGTAACTCTCAAAGACAACCTGTGATACTCTTCACCTGAATGTGTCTCCAGCATCTGGCCCCAAATCTCTTGTCCTTTTCCTCTTTCGATCTGTGTTTAAACAGAAAAAAAATCTGCCTTCAAACTAAATAATCTGCATGCTGTAGGAATTTCTAGTGAAGCCGGCATCACTTACCCAGTTTCAATTTAGCTACCAAGGCTAATGGATGTAGCATGGCTTTATAGAAGATTTAATAAGAAGATAGACTAGGTAGGGACAGATCATCAAGAAGAGAATCTACTGTATAAGGTTGTTAAAAGTTGACACCAGCTTGATGGCACATAACTTGGATCATCACACTGAAGAACCATCTAGTCCACGGGTGTCAAAACTCGCCACGTCATGTGATGTATCGTGACATATCGTGACTTTTTGCATTGCTGGAGCTGGGGTAGGCGCAGCCTCTGTATGATGCAACCGGCCCATGGGCTGGCAGTTTGACACCCCTGATCTAGTCCAATGGGCTTCAAATGAGATGTCTAAAAAACCCTTCTCAATGTGAAAAATCAGTTTGAAACCCATTAATTGATGTTTCATATGACATCCTATTACAGACTTTTCTCTTTTAAACAAAATGAAGATCTTACAATTTTGCTGTAATCAAGTAAACTATCATGCTGAATCCCTTGATTCTCCCAGGACCCTGGGGAGAATACTATGGGATTAGGCCAATATCCATACTTTCCAACAGAAGTCAACAACATGCTTCCAAAAAGTACACAATGGCAACAGCATTCCCACGAATGAAGTTATGTGTAATAGCTGCCGATTTATTTGTAGTTCTCATCAGGTCTGATCCACTTCTTATTTTGAATACTTCAACTATTAAACAGTACCGCATCCGGAATTTCATTCATCTGCATAATGTTCAAGCAGTATCAAGAGTACCAAGCATAATGTTCAAGCAATATGTAGTGGTCAATTGCCATTAAAAAGGCTTTAGCATTTCCAAAGAATTGACAATGAAGCCAGTTTTCTTCATAGGCAAAACCATGGTCAGGTTACTCCATTAACTTTTTTCAAGGTAGCATCAGCATTTTCAGAACATGCATATTCATATAGCTAAGTCACAGGCAGGCCAATATGTGGCCTTCCAAATGCTGAATAGTGATTCCCAATATCCCCATAAGGGTAATACTGGCCCAAATTGTTGAGAGTTGGAACAAACATTTGTCAATCCACAAGTTGCTCATCTTTGAGCTAAGTATATAGCAGCTAAATCGGATAGAGGAAAAGGAGTAGTTGTTTAAAAAATGCACAGTTGCCGTTTCTTACTGTTAATCTTACACAGTGCAAAACAGATAATGGAGAAACAACTCCATTGGAAATATTCCAACCATGTGCTGAATCTCCATTTTCTAACATGAGACATCAAAATTCAGCATTTTATCAGATTAACAGCTTTAAATACACCAAATTTTTGTTTATGCATTAAGTAGTTAAAAAAAATGAAATACTGACCATTGATACACAAGATTCAGGTTGCCTTTCTAATCATTAACAAGTTTTTTGGTTAAGTTTTCATCAAGTCGCAAATTCCAGAATACATACTGTATGTCATAGAATGGAGCTGAAATACTGTTCCAAGATCTGAATTAATCTAAGTTGCCTTGCACAAGCCTATTATGCACTTCATTTTTTGCACATGGAAGAATGAAAATATATATGTATCCATCCACAGATATGCCACAATAGATGTGCCGCATTTACCGTAATAAAGATCTGTGGACAAGTATGTTCAATACAATGCAATAAACTAAGGTTAAAGATCAGATTTACCATAAACAAATCCAAGAAATTCAGACAGACAAAGCAAATAGATTTAATAAATAGACAAGAGTTTAATCTGGAACAGTTAATGAATTAGATCAGAAATGTGATTTCCTTTGCAATTAAGAGTTAAGGATGGGGATTTTTGTCCCAAAGCTGCTTTTCAAAAGGCAACTGGACTTTCTTGGTTTTTTTCCCTTGTAAATGTTTTGCTTCTCATCCAAGAAGCTTCTTCAGTTCTGCCAGAATTGAAAATCCAGATGCCTTTTGAAAAACACTTTTGGGACAACCATGACCTGGATGAGTGAGAATCTCCGTAGACAATGGAGATTTTTTAGCTATTTTAATTTCCTAATCAATAATAGCAATAGCACTTAAACTTATTTATCTTTCCACAGTGCTTTACAGCACTCTCTGGGCAGTTTACAATGTCAGCATATTGCCCTCAACAATCTGGTTGGTGTTTTTTTTTACCTACCTTGGAAGGATGGAAGGCTGAGTCAACCTTGAGCCCTAGTCAGGATCAAACTCCAGACTGTGGAGAGTTAGCCTGCAATACTCTAATCACTGCGCCACCAGGGCTTACTTCATAATGCTTATGATAGTCTGACATATTGGTTACTATCAAGTATACTCCAGACCCCATTTAAATTTCTGATCCTTGCCAACATAAGCAAGATTTAAGCTCTTGCCTACACACCAGATTGAAATGTGATTCTTTTTTCTACTTATCATTAAATTCTACAGATTAGTCCGCACCTACGGACTGCATGGCTACAGCAGTGTTCACTTAATGACTGGCAACTGTCACTGACAGGGTTGTTAAGTAAGATATCACGTGATGTATGACTTCCGATCTTATTTCCAATCTCTATTCATTCTACTTGCTAAAGCCCAAAAAACATATTAAAACAATAAAAACTATAAAAACAGGCAATGGCCAACCACATCTGAAAAACCTTACCAAGAAAAATGCAGATTTGTCCAGGCAATTGCCAAGTCAAAATTCTCTTGAAAGTGCACACATACACATGCATCTGCTCCATAAAGATACCCAACTTTCTTGACAGTCAGATTT